GAGGGGAGAGGAAGAGACCAGAGAACCTTACCCCCCCCCCCTAAAGTGAGAAGGATTCCTGGCTGGGTGCGCAGACATGCTTCCTCATGGTGCTGCCAGTATTGGGGAGTCAGTCTGCAGGAAGGGTTCAGGACCCCCCATGCTCACGGCAGGGGCTTCGGTGGCGAAGCTTTAAGGAACAAGGTATTTCCTTGATGTCTTGCCACCTCTGCACTTGGGCAGAGCCCTGGGGTACGGGGTTAGGTATTGGGCTGTTGACCGAAGGCTGGAGGCTCCGTGGAGAGAGGGCTGAGGCAGTCTGCATCTGTGATCCACTCCCAAGGCTGCCTGGGGCGGGGGGTGGGGGGGGGGTGGGGGATTATTCTGTGGGTCCGAGTATGACGGGTCCATAAAACCCCTCTGAACTTGCTTCCGGAATGTGCCTCTCTCCTCCCTCACCCCCTCAGTCTCCTGCTTTCAGCCTTCTTTACGACAGAACTCACTACTGACTGGCTCCAGCACTCCCAGGATGCCTGGGCCTTGATTGTCCATCCAGACAACGGAATTCAGGACCCCCTTGTGTCCTGGTTCTGGAGCTGCTGGGCCAGGCTTGAAGCCACGGCTCTGGCTTTGGAGTGGCTGTGGGAGCTCCATCTACCTAGCTGGGTGGGGCAAAAGGCACCTGTGTGGCTTACCCCAAATGGTCATGGATGACTGGGGTGAACAGCACATACTCCCCTTCAACCTAGCAACCCGGGACCCCGAGCTGCTGGGAAGTCAGGGGCTTGTAGCCAGAAGGCATGAACGCAGAGCCGGCCTCGGGCTCGCTAAGTGGCCAGACACAGCTGCCTCTTCTTTCACACAGAGGAGAAGGCACTAGCGAGCAGGCAGGCGAGCAGGCAGGAGGAGAGACTGTACGCCAGCAGCTTGGGTGAAGCACCAGCTTAAAATAAAACGTTTTTGTTTTGCTCGGTGCTTAAAATAAAATGGAATTATATGCCAATGTTTAAAAGCCAGAGGGCTGTGGATAAAAGCCCAGATTTTAGGTTTCTTTAAAATTATTGGGGCTGCTGGAAGGGGGTGGGGTCAGACCATAGCGAGGGGCAACTGCAACCACCTCACCCCACCTGCCTTCTAACCTCACTGAGCCGGGAGGTGAGAGAATGTTGGGGGACAGGTCGTGGAGTGAAACCGTTCCCATGTATGGAGCCAGTGTGCGTTAAATACCGGCGCACCAGGTATGTTCCCAAGTGAGCGCCCCAAGCTTGTCCATAGACTCCTTCACAGTCAGCTTCATGAAGCGGGGACCATTGCTTCCACCCCACCCCAGAGTACAGGCCAGGGCACGGAGGCACAGAGGGGGCCTGGACCTGAAGCTGGGTTTTAACTGCTGCACAGCATTGCCTTCCTGTTTGCGGGCTGAGTGGCCTGCTTGTGGCCTTGTTCAAGTTTCCATACCCCACGATGACATGACACTACTCCACAGCCCCAACCTCCCCCACGCCCCCCACCCATGCTACTCCTTCTCTCCGTCAGATGCCCACTCTTGCCTAAGCTTCTCGACAGCCCTGGAAGGTAGGGGTGCTGTCACCCCCACTTCAGGATGAGGCACTGAAGGTACAGTGAGGTGAAGGGCAGGGTCTAGGGCAGAGCCTGTGTTCAAGCCGGGCCATCAGATGGGAGAGTCTGTGTCCTTGCCAATCCCACGGGCCCTTCATTTCGTCTCGCTCACACAAGTCCTAGGACCCCTGTGCCCACACCAGGGGGCCAGAGTCACCCACGGCAGGCCATTCCCAGCCCCACTGCCCAGAGGCTGGCTGGGCAGGACTGAGCCACTCAGCATCCAGCACAGGAACCTGGGTGACCAGTCGCTCTGCAATCAGGCCTGTGGGAGAACTAGTTCTAAGGGGCAGCCTGCAGAGCACAGGAGCAGGCAGGGAGAGGGGGTGGAGCAGGCAGGGAGAGGGGGCGGGTCCCTGCAGGGGTGACTGGGGGCTAGCTGCCTCCACATACCCTGAATTTCACCCTTTGGAGGCTCTGTCTAAGGGGCTTCCTCACTGCGGGAGCAGACAGCCTCAAATGACAAAGGGCAGGGGGGTGGGGTGGGGGTTTGTACTGCTGTCCCTGCGGTTGGCAGCCCAGTGCTTAACCCAAAGAGCCACTAGGGCTCCTTTTCGATGAACGTGAGCATCGGTAGTCTCAAATTTCCCTAGTATTCACCTCGGGCCCTTTCCCGTCTCTGTAGCTCACACAGCACTTACTGTGTGTCTCCTTGGTGTCCCCTCGAGTGGGGACCCCAGAGGGAATGTTTCCAGGAGCCAGAAACGAGCTGCATCTCATGCCAGGTGAGTCTCCCAGACGTAAGTATGTACAAATGCCATCTGGCAAGGCACCAAGCCCCGTGCACTTGACCCGCTCTGACACACGTCCCTTAGGCCTCGATGGAAAAGCAGCGGGTGACCCGGATTTGCCACTGCCTCCCACCCTCCCTGGCGCACTCCCCACAGACGTGCCCGCGATTCTGGATCATCTACAATTCTGGATCATCTACGGGCCCCCGGCAGACACCACGGGGCACGTACCTCCGCTGAATCTTCTGTGAAGTAGATAGAATCACAGTCTACCCAATAGGGCGGTAGTGAAGATGAGCAGAGTCTGTGTGTCTGTCCCCTTCTTAGCACGGTGCCTAGTGTGTCACAGAAAACGATCGACCCTGGGGAGCGAGCATCAGCCTCATTCACACACAGCTGTGCTGTTCAAATGGGCGCATAGGTCTTCTGGGTCCTTAACGAAAACCTCGTCTCCTCCCTTCTCCCCACCTACCTTCCCGTCTCCACTCCTCCCTCCAGGGCAGCGGTTCTCAACCTGGGGGTTGCGACCCCTTTGGGGGTCTAACGACCCTTTCACAGGGGTTGCCCAATTCATAACAGTAGCAAAATGACAGTGATGAAGTAGCAACGAAAATAATGTTATGGTTGGGGGTCAGCGCCACACGAGGGGCTGTGTGAAAGGGCTGCGGCGTCGGGAAGGCTGAGCACCACTGCTGCACAGGGGTGGGTCCCAGACTCCAGGGCACAGGAAGGAGCCGAGAGAGCAACACCTGAAGACGTGCCCACCGTGGGCTGGACAGGCAGGGGACTCCTGAGGAAGTGTCTCCCAGACCCACTCAGCCCAGGAAAGCTACGGTGTCCCAATCCTCCCCCTCTGCAGGAGCCCCCCCGGGGTGCAAGAATTCCATCATTCCCAGGCACCTGCCTCCAAGGCTGCACCCTTCCCTACCTCTGGGTCTCCCCACGGCCAAGGAGCTGGAGGAAGTAGGAAGCTGGAGGGTCTTTGGGAGGGTGCTGTGGAAATCACAGGGAGAAGGTACCGGTCCCTAGATTTGTGCTGGCTCAGCATCTGGGGGGATGCCAGCTTCCCCAGGCCCACGCCAGTGGGGTCCGTGGGAGGCAGGTGGTGATGTCCCTGGTCTCTCTAGCAGCACATGGGTGTGTGTGGTGGTGGTGGCGGCACAGGCCAGGGCGGGTCTATGGCGGGGAAGGGAGGAGAAAAAACAGCCTGGGATTCAGGGCTGGTCTTGTCTTGCCCTGTGACTCTCTGTGTGGCTGCTGACAAGTCCCTTCCACAATAGTGCGCATTTAAGCACGCCTATGGTGACGAGAAAGATGTAACTCATGACCACGAGGCCAGCGCTCCCGTCTGGAGCCTGCAGTACGAATCGATCAGTATAATACAGTTCCAGCCTCACGAGAACCCCTGGGCCTAGCCCACGGCCATCTCCATGTCAATGACGGGCACAGAAGGGCCAGAGGGGCCAAGAGACTGTCTGATGCCCCCAGCTGCCTCCCAGGGACAGGACCCCACCCCCAGTCACTCGACCTTGGACCTGAGACACCCCCGCACCTCTCCTTTGCTGCTGCACCTGTTAAGCAGGCAGGTGGCCCTGGCCTCATTCTTGGCCTCAGGGAGCCAGTCCCCTGGCCAAGACATTGCAGGGGCAGCTCGAGGCTTGGAGCTGCCGCTCACCTGTCGCAGGGCCTGCACCTGTAATCTCACTTGACCTTCACAGCAGCCAGTATCACACCCATTACACAGGGCAGGAAACTGAGTCGCAGGGAGCAAGGTACAAGTCTAAAGCACCACACGGGAGTCAGTATGGGAACCCAGCCCCCGAGACGCATGCTCTCACACACGTTAGCTATAAGGGCCCAAACCTTCCTGGGAGCTGGGACATGCAGCCTGCCTCTTCTCCTTTCTGAAGGGCTTGTCTGGCTTCCCCTGGTGCTGCCTCCACTGACAGTCAGGGGGTTCCACCACAGGAAACTCCTTCCAGGAACCCGTGGCTTCCCGGGGGACCAGTCAGTGCAGGGCTGAGACTGGTCTCCTGTGAGACCCCACCCCCACCCCATACCTGTGCCAGAGACGCTGGACAGTCCCCGGAGTCCACGCTGGGTCCTGGTGACAGACAAGCTGCACTCTGACCTTCAGATTCAGGGCCAACAGGCACTGCAGAGGGCCCGGGGTCACGGCACCTGCGGGGCTCCCGGCTGCCAGCAAGGCTGTCTCCGATTCTGGCCCTGGGAGGAGGTGAGGGGAACCCAGTGGGGAGGGGCCGAGAACACGGCGGCAGGCCAGTAGGGGCGGCGTGGTCCGTGCCAAGAGCTGTGTGGGCGGTAGGATTCTGAACCCCAGCTTCCTCCTGATTCTATCAGCAGCCTCCTGGCCTCAGCCCCACTTACCAGGAAACACCTCGTTGGGAGGACACCCTGTACCTTGCTGCCTATTGTGTGGGGTGGTCCCGGGAACGCTGGGAAGGCGGGCCTCAGCACCTGCACCTCTCCAGACCGAAAAGCGCAAGCTTCCGTGAAGTGGGTCATGTGAGTGTGAATGGCTGGGGAGGGGCCAGGGCAGGCTGGTCCAAGCAGCCTGGGTCTCGCCTCCTCCAGGAAGTCTCCCTGGACAGAGGAGAAAAGGTAACCGGTTCTCCCTGCACCCCTTCTCTTAGTCTGCACACATTCCTCTTACTCTAAGCTCACAAGGTGTCCACGCATGCTCTGTTCCCTCACCAGGAACAGGAAGGAAACACGGTCAACTTTTGCTGGCCAAAGCATACCTCACTTCTCTGACAGCGCTGGGCATGAGTGCATTCCACATGGGCATGCTCCCAGGCACCACCATCTCCCAGGTGCCAGGGCTGTGTGTCATTTCAACATGTCAGGTGTAAGGAGCTCGCATCTGACTAGCTTTCATTGGTCAACGAACGGGACGCTTGCTCATCGGAGCTCCTAGTTGACAAATGGTACAGCACAGCCACAGGGCACATGCTGTGGAGCCACCCTAAGAACGGCCACGCTTTCTGCCGTCACAGTGTGCTCCGGGGCACACCAGGCCCCGGGGACATTCCTGTTGGGGAAGAAATAGGAGGTGCAGTGCAGGGACCCTAAGGAGCTGGGGTGCAGGGGTTTGGTTGTAATCTGCATGATCGGCAGTCGGAAACCACCGCTGCTCCGAGGGAGAAAGATGGGGGCCGTCTACCCTGTAAATAGTGTAGTAATTTACACTCAGGGGCAGTTCTACCCTGTCCTGCAGGGCTGCCATGAGGCAGCATTGACTCAGTGGCTGTAAGTTGGGGCCATGAACAGTGGCTGTGAGTTGGGGCTGTGACTGGAGCCAGTTGCCACTGAGTTGGCCGGGACTCATGCGCTCCACAGGGGTTCCAATGGCTGATTGTTCTGGAAGTCGTTCATCCAGGCAGACCCAAGTCCCCAACCATTCCATCAGCGGCTAAGGTCTCAGCTGTTTTAAACGATGTTGGTTTCCATGGGTGGCCCCTCTACTCTGAGGCCCCTGGGCTGGAGGAGGGCTTTATGGCTCTGCATCTTGTGCCCTGAGCCTTCCATCCGCCTTCAGCAGCAACAGCACAGGCTCTCAGAGGTCAGTGCGTGTCTGCTTCGAGGGGCAAACTCCCCTCTCCACATCCTCGTGACTGAACGCCCCAGAGGCTCCCTTGCGGTTGCTGGGTGGTGCAAACCGCTTCAAACGGAAAGGCTGAGGGTTCAGGTCCCCCCACAGGCACCGTAGGAGAGAGGCCTGGCTGTCTGCTTCTGAATATCCCAGGGAGCACCGTCCTAACATGATGCACGGGGTTCACCTGATGGCACTTGGTGACTGCGTCCTTTACCTAGCATATGCCGAGCACCTCCCTTATGGCAGTGACCGGGGTATGGAGATAAGCAGGACTTAGGCTGTCCTTGGGGAGGGGAAGGACCAAGAAGACTCTGACATGGACCATGTGCTCAGTCTCTTCCACACAGCTAGGAGGGAGTATGCTGGAGCCCTGGTGGCACAGCGGTTACAAGTTGGGCTGCTGCCCTCAAGGTCAGCAGTTTGAAACCACCAGCCATCCTATAGGAGAAGGATGAGGCTTTCTGCTCCCCCAAAGAGGTCCCGTCTCAGAAGCTTGCAGGGGCAGTTCTGCCCCGTCCTCTGGGGCCAGGATGACTCAGAACCAACCCGATGGTGGGGAGTTGGGGGGAGGACGGAGCAGCCATGGGTTCAAAGTCAGCCCTGGCTGGGCTTTTCCCATGCTTCAAATCCAGCGAGGTTGGGATGCCAGATACAGAAACAGAACAATAGGGCGCACTACAGCAGGGGCACAGTGGCGAGAGGAGAGCGCCAGCACTTCCTATCAGAATGGGAGGCCCTCCGGGGCCAGTGAGACCCAAGTGAGGCATCTGCTCTTTCCAAGAAGTGTTGTCAGAATCGTGTCTAAAGGGCGCATCACCGCTGCCTGTGTGGGGAGTGCGGGGCTAGTTGCTGTTTGTGGATGGCACCAGGTAGTGAGGTCCCTGTCCCGGAAGTAATCAAGAAGAGGCTGAGAGGCGATCAGCAAGGATATTGGGGAGAGCACCGAGCACTGGTAGGCTCCCAAGGAGTTTGTTTGTTTCTTCTAACCATCAGTGGAGATAAAGAAGAAGGCCATGACCCGGGGACCTAGAGACATTTACCTGCCAAGCCTTCCTGCATTGGTCATCCCACGAGGTCCTGAGACAGCCCCCGAGGAAGGGGGCACCATGCCCATTCTACGGATGGGCGAACCGAGGTGCAGGGAGTGTCCAAGATGACCTGGTCTTGCCCACAGCAGTGACAGGTGACAGACAAAACTAGAGGGCAGTGAGTCACGCTACATACGTGGGCCAGGCTGCCTGCGGGACACCCTGTGATGGAGCAAAGCCAGCCGCCAACTGGGCAGACGGCGGGTCTGAAGGTGGCCGTCCCAGACTTCTCGACCCTGGTGCTAACAGCCGGGTCCCCATTGGAGTGCAGGTGGCTTCTCTGTAGCCATCCTGCAAGGGCAACTGCTCTTTGACCACACACGTCCCTGGGGCATGCACTCTGCCCTCTGGAGGTGGGTCTGGGTGTGTTGGTGCAGGTCTACAGCACTGTGCTAGTGCCAACACGGGGACACGCCTCGTGCTCAACTCGGGGTGTGGGCACTGGGCGCCTGTGAGGGCATGGGACACCACCACAGCTCACTGGGGTGGGCACAACCTGGACCTGTGGTCATGGGTGCTGTGAGTCAGCACCCCTGGGCCCTAGAGGCCCCAGGATGACTTTGGTCCCATTGCCGCTGGACCCAGTCAGCACTGCAGGGCCAATGCTCCCAGGTGGCCCATGACAGTCCACCTCCTGTCTGTGTTCAGCTGGATACTGGGGTCCCTGGAAGCTGTTCCCAAGAGCCATGCCAAGCTGGCCACCAGAACCCACCCGGTCCAGCACCCTCGTGTGCAGATGGGGAAGCGGGAGAGGGCACTATGTTTCTGGAGAGCCTGCCAGGCACTGCACACAGCCCTTGACAGGTGAGGGCAGGAAATACCCTTACCTGCATGAGGCAGGAACAGGGACAAGATTCACCAGCATCACAGAGCCCCAAGGGGCAGAGGTAAGATTTGAACTCAGTGCCAGACAGGCTTGTGCCCAGTGCTGTGTATTCTGATCAGGTCACCTCCAGGTCCCTAGGTATGGGGCAAATTCTCTTTCCCCAGGCTGGTTCAGATCAGGGAGGACAGTGTGGTCCCAGCGGAGAGGGCTGGGTCTTGCGGCTCCTCCTCAGGGCTGCCAGGGAGACAAGGGCAGATGAACAGCTGCCTCACACAGATCAGTTGCTGTGATGCTGACCTGGACTAGTGGTGGCCCCATGTGTGTCCTAGTGGACCTGTGCACCAGACATCTCTAGGAGAGGACAGTTCACCTGGGGCCTGTGAACCCTCCCCCTGCCCATACACACACATCCCCCTGGATTTCTAGGGCCCAACCTGGGAAGGGTGCTGTGGTAGTTACATCATCTCCTGTCAACTTGCGAAGGGGTGGAGTCTAGCCTCAGTCAGGTCGCAGGTCGCAGCTTGATGACCTCATTTGGAGACATAGCTCACTGGAGGCCACATGTACTCTCTGTTTCACCTTCTCACTGACAAACCAGATGTACTGTACTGATGGAGCCAGAGCCCTGGGGCTGGAGGAGCCACGTGGAGACCCATGCCAGCACTGAGATACTTCCACCCCCACTGGATCCACAAGACTTTCTACCCACTGGCCTGTGGTCTTCCTGCATTCGGGGTCATTGCATGTTTTGCATTGAGTCTAAAGAGGACTAGTATCGACTTATGGGGTAATATCAGACTTGATCTGGGATATTTTCTTAATGCACCATTGCTCTTTGATATAAAGTTCTTTTATACACATGGGTCTCCCTGGATTTGTTTCTCTAGTCTACTGGGACTAGACCTTGGGCCTTGACCTTGGGGCTCAGAAAGGCAGTCAGTGATAAGCACCAGGGGTTCTCAGTAGGGGCTTGTTCCTCCACTTCCACTGCCTCTGTTGAAAACACGGCTCTGCAGCCAGCCTGCCTGCGTTCAGGTCCCAGCCAAGGTAAGGGAGATGATGGCCCTGGGTAGTGGCGCCTCTTTGAGGCTCAAATCACAGCTTTGTCACCAAGTAGCCAACTGACCCTGCTTGCCACTTCACCAGCCTGCACCTTGACATCCAGTCTCGTCTGCAATGTGGGAACACTGGCACTTCTAAACTGCAGGGCAGAGGCTCCGCTTTGCCGCCTGATGAATGCTAGGGACTGTGATGATCCCTATGGAGTCACTGTCCTTCCGGTCAGGGGTCAGCCCAGGCCCCCCACCCACCTAGCAGGCTGCGAGGTCACCATGTGGGACCTGGGCAGCCTGCCCCCTCTCTGGGCACACCGGACCCAGCACTCTGACTGGCACCTTCTCGGCACTCCCACTTCAACTCTCGCCAGAGCAGGGCTGGTACCAGTGCCTACGGAGTCGGCCGAGACCAGCGCTGGGGCATTGTGTCCGAGCTGCGCTGAGCCCCATAGGATTCTCGGAAGGGGCCTCAGAAGCGCGTAGGGAAACCCCACAATCTTTGAATGCTCCCTCTCCATCAGCTTTTTGAAGCCCTTGGAGTTCACCAGGCCTTCCTTCCGAGGGGCTTCTGGGTGAAGGGACCTCTAACTTGGGGTGAGCAGCAGACTGTAAGGAACCATTTGCATCAAATACCAGGGGGCCCCCAAGAGCTTATGGGAAAACGTCATCATCTTTTAATTCCATTTGTCTTTGAACTGTTCAAAGCCCCCTTGTGCTTCCCCACTGCACTGAGATGAGAGAGCCTTTGCTCAGCCCCGACGGGTCCGGCCCAGCAGGTGGCTCCCCCTGCTATGGGGCTAGTGCTGGCCCCTTGCCCACTGGGCCCGGCCCCACAGCCATCCTCCAATCCAAACCACACCAGCTGCCACCAAGTCAGCTGGCTCCCCGTGGCCCATGTGGGTCTGAGGGGCCCTGTGGTCCAGGGGTCTTCACGCTGGTTTCCCAGAAGCTGTCCCCAGGCCTCTGAGGCGACCCCGGTGGATTCAAACCACCAAGCTTACAGTGAGTGGGAAGTGTTCAACTGTGGTGCCACCAGGGCCGCCTCTCCCCTCCCCACCGCCTCCACCTCCACCAAGTTCACTCCCCTCTGGGGCCCCCGATCTCGGCGTGGCAGGCGGCTCCCACTGTTTGGGCTTTCGGTCAAAGTCCCCTTCCCTGAAGGCCTCCCCCGCCACTCTGTCCTTGGTTTGGCGTTTGCTCTGAGCTGTTGTCTTTATGTAACGGGCAGCTGCTCCCTACCAGCCTCCCTCTCCAT